ACAATTATATCGTTTGCATCATTTCTTCCCTTTTGCTTATCGCTTTCATATTTGCGATTTTTATTTGAATTAATCTATTTAATCTTTACTTGTATGAATTTAGACCAATTTTTTGAAAAAGTTTTAAAAATCAATTCATCCCCTCTTGCTTAGTTATTCTTGGACTACCACGATGATTTGGTTCGACTGGTTGGGGAATTCTCCTAAAAGTGGTCGCCCACTTATCAGATTTCATCATCTCAATCTTCGTCTCCATGTTAATGACCTTCTGCAACGTCCAAATATTTTACAACCTAATTCTATCTTGAATAGCCACCTTCAAGCCACTGGTATACATAGCTACCCTCTGATTTTTGGATTCTGACAAATTGTTCCACTCTGCTAACCGCATAAATTTGTTGGTATAGTCAGATACTATGCAGCTGCCTTGCGTGCATCCTAGGTGCATACAATACAAAATCTATTCGTAATATACATGTAGAAATCGACCCATCATACACTGCTTCATCTTTCTCCAAGTTCGAATCAGACTCTTTTTTTTGTCTCCTTCGAGATTCTGTAATTGATCACACCATATTATCGCTGTCGATTTCAAACAGAACGCCACCATCTTAACCATCTTGTCCTCCGACACTTCCATAATTTCGAATTATTCAACCTCTACCAACCAATCCAAAAAGCCCTCGATCTTCAAGTTACCAAAGAATGGTGGAATGTCCACTTTAATTCGATTATCTAAGGTATTTCGATTGTGATGAGTATGCGACAACGCTTCGAACTCCTTCTCTGACTCCAATTTACTTTTGTCTATTGCAAGCCTCATATTATTTCTTTTCCAAACTATAGGCTCAACGATCCGTTCATCGTTGATTTCTCGTTGTTCATTCTGCCCATTGTTTCTGACACCCGACAATAACAGTTGACGAATCTCTTAGATCTGAGTAGTAAGATCGTCAATCCGTCGATTTTGAGCACCCAAATTTGCCTTAATAATTGGTACGTCACCCATGGTTGTGAATCAAAGATATAGAGATGGAATAGTTGGCTTTGATACCATTTGACACATCACGAAACAAGAAATTCAAGCGAAAACCTTGAGAACGCAATTTTGGAATCCACCAAATCAAAAAATAAACTCATGAAATTTTATTAATGTAACATGATCAAAAAACGATGAATTAACCATTTATTTATAAGGGTCTATATGAAAACCTAGTTCAAACAAACTAAAATTGCAAATAATTCGGAATAAACTAAATGACAAAAATAGCACTAAAATTATAAAAGTAATTTTCAAGTCCTAAACGAACTCGGATGGCCAAACTCCATCATATGTCACAGCATAGCAATGAGTTCTACTCGTTTCGTCGTTCTCTTTTCAAAATGGTATTATGGGTTCAAATCGGAGTTCGACTGTCACACTTGCTCTCACTGTTCTAAAATGCGCATATATACTTGATGTTTTTTCGAAGCGCCTCGCATATGGGATATGCGTGTGATAACGCGGTCAACTTATTTCATTGACCGCATATGCACGCTTAAACCCAAAATGTACACGCATTTGTGTTCAAAAAAATGTGTCAAAATTAGCCTAACAAAGTCGAGTCCATTTTTACAACTTAAAAAAGTAAATTGAACCCAATAAATATTAAAAATTAACCCAAATCACTCAATCCCATGATATACAACAATTTATAGGGTTTTGACTAAAAAAATCATAACGCCTTTTTTATAGAGTTACAAACTTTCTACGCTGAGTCCGAGCTTCCTTCTTCTTTGATTTTTTGTTTAGTTTTACTAGCAAGTGATGTTAGTAACGAACAATCTTGAATTATTGATGATTGTGATGATGCTACAAAAGGTATTAGAAATTTTCGAGGTGAAATAAGGGAGTACATGAAGATGATTTTACATACTTGAAAGTTGACTTGGATGAAGGGGAGTTTGAATTGGAATTCGATAAAGAGTTATAAAATATTTAGAATTTTTAGGCTGATGTGTCTTATCTAATTGCAAAAATGAATTACCGAGTAATTGTTGTATTTATGATATTGAGCATTATGTTTTTGTTAAAAATTTGAATAATATGTATAAATTTTAAGTCATTGTAGTATATATGATTTTATGTAATTTTTTTTTTAATTTAGAAGAATATATATAGAGTTTAAAGAATGCATTATTTAATATATTTATTAGTTTAGAATATTTAAAATAATATTAAAAATTGAAAAACGCATAATTACGCATATGCTTTGCATAGGCACACATATTTTTCGAATGTTTGATATTAGACCAAAACGCATTGCTACGGATTACGCATTTTAGAACATTGTCTGAACTATTGTCTTTTTTCATTTTCGGTCCAGTTATTCTTGAATTCATTCAACTATCTGTTCTACATCACTTACTGTCTATCCAAGTTTGGAACACTACTTCTAAGTCTAGTTTACATAGACCTAAGAGTTGAGTGGGGTATCCGAAATCGCTCATTACACTTTTTATATTTCATAAATGGTGTTATTCGAATTCTTGTAATTACTGACCTACACCCAAAGCATTTTTTCTTTTTTGAAAAATCGTGAGATGGCAATACAAATGACCTTCCTAATATTTAGCAAAAATAGAAAAATCAAATATGCTATCAACTAACCTCCAATATCTAGCCAAATATGCCGTCAAATCGCATCGAATATATATAATATGATTCTAGAGCCAGGTACTCACGATTTCGGTTCAAGAATTAAGAAATGTTAAGAATCCAATGATTCTCGATTTCAGTTGTTTGTTTGTTTGTTTTTTTTTGAGTCGGTGTTGAACGTCGAATTAGTTCCGATTAAAATGCAACCTCATCCTGTTGATCAAATGGTGGAAATAAGGAAACGATATGTGGTGGTAATTGGAGGAGCCAACTTTGGGAAACATAGGTTGCACGGTAGGAAATAATAGGAAACTAAGGGTGCGTTTGATTGCCAATATTTTTCATAGAAAATGTATTTTTTCCACTTAATTTCTTACTTTTATGCTATTTAATTGACAATTTTTTCAACGAAAAATAGTTTCCTACTTTGTTCACGTGACCATATCTTTTTTGAAAACAAAGAAATTATTTTTCTTTGAAAAAAGTAAGATTTTATTTTCCAAATAATTCGAACTTTCCAAAAATTCTAAGTTTATCAAATCTCCTGTCAACTCACATTACCATCTCTCTCTATTCACGTACAAATCATTACCATCTCTCTCAAGTACTCAACGGCTCAACCAAACCGGGAAGAAGAAACCAAAGACCCATGACAACTTCTATATCTGCCTCCAGGGTATTCACTGCAAAAGGTCTTGATCGCATCGATTAAAATTCGTTTAACAATCAAACCACCTTATTTGATTTGTACATGTTTATACTTCTTGGGTACGTATTATACTTCTTTAATCAATGATGCCACTTCTCATTGTTTAAAAATTGAGTAATGCTATTTTCAGTCGCTTACTATTATAGTCGTTCTATGTGGCATAAGTGTAGCGATTAATGATTTGATGTATGAGACAATAAAAAACTACCACATTAATGCATTAAATCACTATCCGCCAAATGTATGTCAGGTAGGAGACTACGATAGCGAGCGACTGCAATTAGTAGATTCCAATTTTGGTAAATAAAGCCCACGATGGAGTGTAACTCCTAGCATAGTTTTGGTTCAAAGTTTCCTAGAGGTACAGTAGATTTTCTTTAAGGGTGTGTTTGATAGTGTGGAAATAAGGTGGAAAATGGAATTGGTTTTCCATTTTCCAGCTTTATGCTGGTTTGATTACTTTTATTTTCTCGGCAATTTGAATTCCTCAAGGAGGCCACACGCTCACAATTTCCATGAAAACCTTGAAATCATTTTCCCACCTTTTAGTTTTTATTATTATTTTTTTTTTTGTGTGTTTTTTGCAATGACACCAAATTTCATGACCAAGTGTAAAAAAAGATTTCACTTTCATGGACAATTTTGATGCAAACGAAGACCAAACGAACACTAAACTTTGATAAAAAAAAGATTTTTTGGGAAACATTTTTTTATTTTTTTACTTTTTTGGCAATGGAAACAAATTTCATAATCAAGTATGGAAAAAATTCTCACTTTGATGGACAATTTTGATACAAACGAAGGCCAAACGAATACAAAATTTAAAATTTTTTCAGATGAAAAATTATATCAATCAAACACACTTGAAATCATTTTCCCTACAAAACATTTTCTAAACAAATCTTTTCCCTATAAAACATTTTCTTTACACCAATTTTTCACCCTTTCAATCAAACGCACCTAAAATTTTTGAAATTTATTAAGAAATAACGAAATTAGGAAGCTTTTGTACGAATTATGAACAGTTGCATTATACAAGATTTCCATGCTAGAATGGGACTGTGCCCTCTCTCTTTCCAATTCTTTTGTTAGAATAAAATCGACAAAGATTTGGAATGACAGGTACAACAAATTGAAGATTAGAATAAAACCTGCAAAAAGTTGAAAGATTTGAAGTCGTGATTCCAATTATCCCAATATTTTTATGATAGCACCATTATCCAAAGGAAGAAGGTTGAGGCAAAGGTAGACTGCATTCGACAGATTTCAAACGAAAGTATAAATTAGTTAATGTACTAAAAGAAGACTCGATTTTAGTTAACGAGTTGATCTAAAGAAAGAAACTACAATGTTCCTAAATTGAAATCAAAATGAAAATAAATGATTAGCTTAAAAATTGGGGACCAAAGTGAAACAATTCCGAGGAGCAAAACGATGACAAACACTGATTCACCAATATTTCTGTTTTGTGCAGATGTTACTTTAAAACACGAATCCACTGAAAAGAATAGATGTTTTTAACGACAATGCTAAAATAATGAGGGAAGCAAATCATTGTAGGAGTTTTCATCTTAAAGGGCTAAAAGAGGAAACACTAATTTTACATTCCATGAGAAATGCCGTAGAATCACAACGCCGCTGAACATTTTCCCTTCAGGTGGAGCAGCAGCCTGACTTTTGGTTAACGGGTTGTCCACGAATTTGCACGGTTGCAGGTCGAGCATTGTTCATGGCAGGTTGACTGGCCATCCTGAGAGAACATTTGAAGGGATAATCATCCATATCAGAACAATAGTGCATGTTATCACAATAAAGTCGCACAGTGATCAGATCTAGAAGATCCTTAAAGAAAGTTTTAGTGCCTGTTTGATAGAATTTATTTGGAAATAATGAGTTAAAGGAATAGTATTTTTGGAAAATGTGTAGTTCAAAAGTAAGGAAATTTTATTGGTTTCTGTATATAATATTTTATTGTGTGACTGTGGTGGAGAAATGGTACTATAGCAAACAATTTAATTTTTTAAATGATGACAAACAAGGCCTTAGTATGCTTAAACAAAATGTTGCTTTATGCAACCATTTTTGTAAAAAAGAGTTACTGATCGTGAAAGCAACTCCCATACCAAGAAATTTATTTCACACTCTTAACTGATCAAAACAACTAGTTATTTTAGAACTTGTGAACTTACGAGTAAACGTTTTAAGCCTAGCCATGTTCAATAATCTACACACTGTAAAATGTCTCACCTGTTCTTGATAGCAGCAGCCATAGCCATGAAAGCCTGCTCCACATTAGTTGAATTCTTCGCACTTGTTTCCATGAAAGGAATTCCAATTTCATCTGCAAATGCCTGCACAAACAAGGAATTTCAAAATTAACGTGACTAGCTCATCAAAATGGCCTTGTTCCAATGACTTTAGAATTGTCTAATTTGTTTAGAAACTTGGTACCTGTCAGTTGCCCACTATTATATACTCCCATCCCATTTATATATGCTGATTTTGTTTTTCACACAGATTAAAAAGTTTTATTTAGCCCCCTGTTTGAGCCACATTATTTTTCTCATTCTCATTCTTCTACTCGTTTTCAATCACACATTTTTCAATAAAATAATATTTTCCATCACATCAATAACTTTTCTTTTTTTTCAACCACACACTCCCCATCACATCAACAATAAAAATGCATTCTTACTCCCAAAATGTGCATCAAACAGGGGCTTAATATTATTGAAAAATCAATTTTTGCCAAAAACATTCCTAGCTTACCCTTATTTAAGCATCAACAACTAATTATTGTTGGAAATAGTAAAGAAATTGAATAATTTAATTTTCAAGAAGTAGGTATCTTTATATTTGTACAATTTCAAGATTAAAAGGGGAAAATTGGTTATAACGAGACAAATTAAAGAAGTGTAGTAAATGAACAAAACAAATAATTCCCAATAAAGAATATAATTGGGATAAGAAAATAAGGAAAGTCAACCCTATATAAATGGAACGGAGGGAGTAATACAAAATATGGCTTTTTCTTGATTTGCAAAAGAACAAGACTTCTTAATCATCTAGTCCTGTCAAGCACTAGGTCAAGGAAAAAACATGTGTTTTATATGCAAGGACCTAAAATACAAGGTGCATCGATTTACCTTAGCTGTTTCTGTAGACACAACTTTCTGTGCTGTGAGATCACACTTGTTTCCAACAAGGAGCTTGTTAACATTGTCGCTGGCATACCGGTCAATTTCATTCAACCATTGCTTGACATTGTTAAAGCTCTCTTGGTCCGTCACATCATAAACTACCTGATAAAAGTGCAACAGGATGAGCCTAATCTATTTCATGGAAACTACACTTGCACGAAAAGGGGAACTGCTTACAATGATGCCATGGGCCCCTCGGTAGTAGCTGCTAGTTATCGTTCTAAAACGTTCTTGCCCGGCAGTATCCCACTGCACGTACGAAAAAGCATAAATGGAAAAACTACATCAAATCAAAGAGTAAATCGTCAAGACGGACATGAGACCAAGACAATGGCCATGAGGGTTTCGTGAAAAGCTATGAGCAAAAGAACGTTATAGCTCAATACCTAGAAATATAAACATAATTTTATAATTCTCCGCTCTGATTGGTTTTATCAATCCAATTATCTACTAACACTCCAAAAATTTCACGCTGTCCACCCCCCCAACCCCCCAAAACAACTGATTTTCCATTTCTTTTGGATGACTGCTCCCCATCTTAACTCCTAACCTGTGCTGATCTCTCTTTAATCCCCGAAAGGGCTACCATTCAAAGGGAGATGGTTTACTTCCTTTCTTAAATCTCCGCCTAAGGTAAATAAATGAGATTCACATTTTGTTAAGTTGGAACCCTTATTGAGATTTGAATCCATCATACACGGCCATATAATCAAGTAATTCAAATACTTACAATTTGGAGTTTAATGGTTTTTCCATCCTGCTCCACTGTGCGTATTTTCTACATCAAAGAAAATGAGAAGTTATCACGACGCTTAAAATTCTGCAATTGCTAGACCACGCAAGCAAGCGAATACAATATAAGAATTAATCACTTACAAAGTCAACCCCAATGGTACTAATGTAACTCTCAAGGTAGGAATCATCCTGAAAGCAAAGATAAAATCATAGTTAGGAAACGAGTGTAGGTTTAATATTCAGTATTAGACACGAGTGGACAACATAACAAAATAGATTTTGCTTCATTTTCTTTCTCAATATTGTCCATTGCCCAATGCTATCCCTACCAAACATGCCACTACGGAATTACACAATAACCCCTCCAACAGAAACAATTTAGCTCCCGTTTGGTCCTCATTTTTTAAAAACTCATTTTTTTTTTTCAAATTCACTTCAACCACGCATTTTATGAGACTCATAATTTTTATCAAAATTTTCAACCACACATTTCATCAACTTCCATCAAAATTTACTAAAAATATAATTTTTAGCTAAACCGAACAAAGGCTTAATGAGTAACTCTACTAAGTAAAAACAAATAGATTATACAGGTTTTCAAAGATATTATGTAGATCAAAGGACAGAAATCATTTCAAAGATGAATTGAGAACTTACAGCAAACCTCAGAAGAAGACATGACTTGCCTACACCAGAATCTCCAATAAGCAAAAGCTTAAAAAGGTAGTCGCTGCAGATGAAACACAAAAGTAAGTGCACAATTTAACATAGGAGATGAAAAAAGAATTTATATATTCGACAGAAATCAAAATTCTGGAGATAAAAGTGTGAAACCAAGTAGAAAAAAAGCTTCGCATTCCATAGTTTCATATACAACAACATAATAACAGTCTAGAGCATCATTCAATTCTGCAAAAAAAGGGGAAAAAGAATAGAAAAGAACAGAATCTATATCACATTTAGATATAAACCAACTCCAGCCACAATGAAAGTGGAAAAAGAAAAAGGTGCAAACAAGTGTTACAATGCACGAGAGTTGTAGAAGCCCTAAATCTACGTTTTAATTCATGTTCCCCTTTAGCATGCTGCGCCTACACTGCGACAGGACCTAAACTTCAAAGTAAAGATACTTGGATGTTCGAAATTTTAAAAGATTTATGCACTAGCTGGCAGGTGAAACAAGCATTAGCTACACAAAAACATGGTTATTCAGCTTTTAAAATAGGATAAAATAGTAAAAACTATCACAAGTAAAAGACTAAAATTTCACTATTCCTCTATCCCTCAATTCAAAGTCACCCTCGACACGGGGTTCAAGTCAGATGAAAACTCACCACCGTAAATGAAACAAAATTTGCATAAATTTCCATTGGAGAACAAGAAGCAAGAAACTCATTAGCTACACGGAAAAAGAAAATAAAAAGAAAGGTACTAGAATTTCAGCACGCAAAATACATTAAACTTCTCTTTGATTTTGCTAACAATCAGATACATGTGGTTGAAAATTTGATAATAGTTGTGGGTTTCTTGAAATGTGTGCTTAAAATTAATAGTTAATGTTGGTTTAGATTTTTATCAATTAGCTAAACCAATTCTGAAAAGCTAGAACTCGATAAATTCCAAACACTTCCCCTAAACCTATAAAAACAGCTGATCCACCGTTCACACATATAAAATATAGACAAACAGAGGTTTATTATCCGTAGATTCAGCTGAGCTTTTCCAAATCATCTGATTATCCATCCAATTTTATAATCCGATTAGATAACTCTTTTATAGGGATCTACAGTTCCAATTAAAAACTACCAAAAGCCAATGGGTTCCCGATCATATCATAAAATAAATCAATAAAATAAGTACTTTAAGATAAAAATATTGTAAAATTACGAATAGCAGTACACGGATCTCATCGAATCATATCATGTAACATAGAAATAGAATGGATAAATATATAATAAAACTAAGACTTACTATTCTGGATTCATGTCCGATGTGAAATTCGAGATCAACTACAAAAAGAGATTGACGAAAAGATGAACGTGCACTTCAGGTTTCCGGCGAAGGTTTGACAGAAACTATGAATCGTCGCGGGAGGGAATAGAGAGAATTTTATAAAGGAAGTTGAAATTGGAAAGATCGTGGGGACGAGGAGTTTTGAATTTTCAGGAAAATGTCTAAAAGTGTGAAAATGGTGGCCGTGACGTGGCAAACAAAGCAGTGCCTGCCGCGTGTCATGCGCTGTACTCCATTTACGAACATGCCCTTCTATTTTATTTTTCTTTTTAGAATTTGTTTCTCTACTTTTTCTTTTATTCATTTTCTCCTAAAAATGCTAGTACAACTCGATAGGCACTGAACTTGGTGCCAATATTTAATAACTTAATTAAGAATTAAAATTAAAAGTTTAAAATAATGCTAAATGTACATTCAGTTTGACAACCCTCTCACATATGGGGTGAGGCTCGTGATTTTTTAAATTCCTGGCCCCACCCCTTTGTGAGGGGGCAATCACCTATGATATACACCAAATGTGTACATCTAACATTTTTCAAAATTTTAATTTAAATTAAAGTCAACAATTAATTTTAATAATATATTTTGCCCGTGTTCAGTGGAGGATTAAAATCAGATTTTTAATAATTTTTTATAAAAGTTGATAAAATGTATGATTAAAAAGTTGTGGTTCCATAAAATGTATAACTAAAATAATTGTTGATTTTTTTTCTACCGAACAAGGGGCTTTATGATATTTACAACTTTTAATAACATATTTAATTAATTTTTATCACAATTTTCTAAGACCATGTTTGGTGCACATTATTGAGTGATGAATGCATTTTAAACAATGATTTGATGGAAAATATGTGATTAAAAAAATAAGGAAAAAGTTTGCCATTTTGGGGGAAGAATAGATTTTGGAATGTGATTGATGGAAGAATATGTGGTTAAAAAGTAAAGAGAATTTTTGAATTTATGTGTAATATTATTTTATTGATAGAATGTGTGTTTGAAATGAAAAAAGAGAAAAAAAAAATGGAAAAATAGAATGGATGTCAAACATGGGCATATTTTACACCACAACATGGTTGGGGCAATCTTATGTTAAGAATAAACACTTGGGCTAATAATGAGAAACTTGATATTGTTTTGACTGTTTGGGCTCTATTTTTGTAATAAGATAAAATACATTTAAAAGTTTTTTGTTAATTTTCAATCAAACATTTTCACAATAAAATATTTTGCACGTAAACTTTTTTTACTTTTCAATAACACATTCTACAAAAATTTACTAATCAAAATCTCATTCTTTTCAAAAAAATTCTGTAAAACAAAACCTTATAATAAATAGTAACATTTTCTATTATATAAACTTTAAAAAAAATTATCATTTACAATTTCTAAAACAAAATACAAGAATTTAAAATGTTCTCATCTTTCACACCTTAACACCATGGACCACCACCTTCGACAACTGCATCAACACTGTTGATGCCAACCACCATTGCAATGATTTGCGACATTTGTTGCACAAATTAGTTCAATTTACGATCTCCTTTGCTTATATACGTGCACAATTTTTTCTCTTTCTGCCACCACCCCTACACCATTTAGGGCGTGTTCGGTAGGGATTAAAATCGGATTAAAATTGAAAAACTAGCCGTTATCGTTGACTTTTATTAGACGAGTGAGACCCAATAACGATTATATTTTCAATTTTAATTGGATTTGAAGCTTTGCCAAACATGCTCTTAGCTATTACAAATTTGCGATTTGTCACCTTCTACAGGTAGATCTGTGCAACATGCCAACATCACATTCTTTCCACAACCACCACCTCTGTTTTCTTTCCTATCGCCAAAATCACTACCAAACCATGTCTAGTTATAGTAGAAGATCAATGGTGGCCACCACACTATATTTAGTTTTAGTACATTGTGAATGTCAATCTTTTAGCTATTTTTAAGCTGATCCCTTTCTCAAAATTTTCTCTATCGGATATCTGATTTGAAAAAGAATGGGTCTATGCTTAATTCTTTGACTAATCTCAAGTCAGCATGAAAAAGTGTCAGTAAGATTGATTCCAAAGTGCAATAGTTTGCTCAATGGTCAGTGATATACCATAAACCCGAATTTGACCTAATGGGCCGGACCTTGGCCCATCACATTTGGCCATTATCAAAGGTCGGGTCGAGCTCAAGTCCGGGCCCAACCATAGGTCAGGTCTTCACCCTTGCCCCATGCATGCAGCTTTGACCTCGATGTACAACTCCTAGGGATGATAGTCCTATTCAAGCACAAACTCCTAGTTCATTACAAATTTTACCCTAACTCAACTTGTACACCTATAACAAATTTTACCCTAACTCAACTTGTACACCTATAACATAACACAAACACCTTGTCAGGATAAGGGTTATGAGAAGTTGGATCCTTTTATGACTCTATCTCCAAACATCTATAATTATGTAGCACTACTTCATTATTCAAGTACGTTTTATTCAATAATACTCCAGCATACAATATTTTGTAATTTCTCTTTCTGACTTAGGCATCTGAGGGGCGACGATGACACACCTCAACACATTTGTTTCAGGTATTAAAGACCAGATCGTGCGGAGATCCATCAGTCGATTCGAGTTCATTCAGGTGCAACTTTTGGTAGCATCAGTCAGTGTTTGCTATTTGCTGTAAATAGGAAAGCTATAGGGCTGAAAGAATTAATTGTTCCAATAATCATTAAACTTAGATTAGCATCTTTGATTGCTCAACTATGTTATTTGATGTCGAGTTTTGTCATCTAAACTTCTCAAAGTGTCAGATGTTACTCACTATAATCACTTCCATTTTGCGTCTCTAACGGAATAGCTGATCTAGTAAATTGATTTCACAGTTAGCGCCCCACCACCATTTGATACCTAATCATGAAAAGAGGGATAGTTCATGTAAGCAAGGCGTCTTTGATTGCTCAATATACTTTGACAGGTGTCTTTGATTGTTTATTATAATTTAGGCTGATTGAGTTTTGGCCACTAAACTTTTTAAAGAGCACCGATATGACATGGAAACATGGGTTTTGTTTATTTCCTGTTATCATTATTATGTGCTCAAACAATTTTTCCAGGCTGAAAATTTTATTGAATTTTATTTTGTTGGCGAAACATAATACGGGGCACAATGAAATCAAACTCGACCACCATTCCCTATTAGCACTTTTACTTTAAAAAATCTTAATTGGGAAAATATACTTTGATTTGATTTCACTTTAGGTGAGTTCGTTCTATCATAACTATTTGAATTGTTACACCATTTATTAATTATCTTATTTAATTCCATGTGTAGAAGATCATGCGACATTAATGGTGAAAAATGAGATATTTCGATCCACTTAACACCCGGAGGAGGTGAATAGGTGTGCTATGCAGAATATAAATTTATAAAATTAACTTTCAACATGTCACAAATTATCTAGTCTAGATGTATAGAAAATAAACTGTGGCACGGCAATCATATAAGCAAATAAATGTATAAAATGTAAACAACACCAAGAATTATTTACGAAGGAAAACTCTTTGAAAAACTCTTAAGAGAAAAAACCATCAGGTACCTCGTGCCATCAAATGATCCATTAAAAAAGATTGAACTTACAGACCCGATCTAGACACCACTAAATTTTAGTAGACTCTAACTCCCAATCTATAATTATTCGAAGAACTCCTCAATTATGCACATCAGCACTGCTCCAAAACCTTTGGACTTCTTTTCACCTGTGAATCTCCAAGAACGAACTCATTCTTCCTTCATCGGAACTCTGATCACCTCTCATATCCATCAACTCTGAAGACTATTTGGTAGAGAATTTATCGGTGTTTTGGTTTTTTGAATGTGGAAAAGAATTTTGATAACAATTTGTTTTGTCTTTACTAAGATCTTCACTTCTATTTCTTTTCTCTCAACATACAATGAAATAGAGGAGTTTTGTTGTTTATAAACTATATTTCACAATTCTAGGTGGTTTACGAGTGTTTAGATATTGAAATAGCTAAAATAAGGTTTCTCCCGCATGGACAGGCGCTCGAGCGCCCACTTGACGTTCATCGAGTGCACTTTATTCCAAAAAATGTGCTAAAGCGCCCACAGGACGTTCATTGAGTGCATTGTGCTTGAGCACCTTATGGACGTTTATCGAGCAACCAAGTTTTGGAATGCGTTCATCACCGTTTGGACGTTCATCGAGCACACATCAAGCACCACTTAACCAACTACCAACACCAATCAACTCAACCCCAATTGTAACTTGATTTAATGATATTTGAACTCAAAACTTGTCAAACCTTATTTAGACCTAACAAATGGTACCAATAATATGAAAATATATTATCCTTTCAATATTATATGAAACTAAAAAATATATACAATTATATCACCAATCAGACACATTCAAACCTATTAAATTCTAAATGAATTACAATATATTTCCAAAAATACCTAAGTTTTTGACTTCTAGAATTCAACATGACAACTATAATAACACATAATAATTCTATCAACCAAATAATTCAATAAAATATTCATTTTGGAAAGAACTTTCGAAACACGTAATAACACAACATTAAACACAGAAAAAAAACACATGTTTACATATCATCATAGCGTACTTTGAGAAGTTTAGTAGTCATAATTCGACCAACTTTAAGTGTAGTGAGTAATCAATGATGTCTGTCAAAATGTAATAAGCAATCAAAGATGCCTTACGTGTAGTGTCCCTTTTCTTGTAATTGGACATCTAATGGTGATGGGACACCATATCCGAAATCCAGTTGCCAAGTCAACTATTCCGTTAGAAAAGCAAAATGAAAATGATTTAAGTGAGTAGCGCTCGATACTTTGAAAAGTTTAATAGACAAAACTCAAAATCTTAAAATGCTGTGAGCAATCAAAGACGTCAACCTAAATTTAGTGATTATTAAGACAATTAACTCATGGT